GGCAGGACCTTTCAAAGGTGAAGATGTCCTCATTCCTCGCATTCCTATGATTCCAACGGATATGCCATTTCAATTTAAGATATTGCAATTCCCAATTCGATTGGCGTTTGCAATCACCATCAACAAAGCTCAGGGCCAATCTTTAGAATTGTGCGGTTTAGATCTAGACTCGGATTGCTTCTCACATGGACAATTATATGTTGCGTGTTCTAGAGTCGGCAAACCAGACAATCTCTATATCTGCACAGACGATGGAACAACAAAAAATATTGTATACCCACAAGCATTGTGAAATTAAACATATTAGAAACGTGCGCTTTCTCTTTTCTTTCTTTTCCATTTAACCAGACTGAGCCACAGCAACGCGTGGCCGGGTACAGCTAGTATATAATGAAAAAGAACAATTTTGAGAAAACACTTTACAGTTTGTTATTTGTTATATTACAAGGGATCCCGCAGTAAGAGGGGCCGTCGGTGCAACACACCGACGTTCAAATCTCCACTGCCTTTTTGTTGAGGTACATTTGTGATATTCAGGCCCACTAATAAACGACAGATAATTTCAAAAGTATCCGCAAAACGTATATTCCGGAAATGTTACGCAGAGAATGAATCGAACACCAACAGCAAAAGAAATAAATACAAGGATCTGATTTCAAAAGAAACTCCTTTTTAATGAAAACATTGACTCGTACTAATATTAACAATCACATTTACCTTAGAGGCCAATAAAGTCTACTACTACTACGCAGAGTCAGACTGTTCTGTCTCAAATCTTTTTAAATTTAGTGTTAACGAAATGCATGGAGGGACAAGAAGGTATCCCTGAACGCTCAACACTGCACATAAAACTGCTGATAGATATCAGATTATTATAAATATATAATCTAAAAGGAATTTCCGAGAATATGAACTCGATTTGAGTCAACTGCACAACTATTGTTCAATATTTCACGTGTACAGTGACGTATACGTTACGTGATGACAAAAATTGTAGCATAACATTTTTTATAAAAGGAAAAATAATAAAAAGAAATGCTTTCATGGTGTATTTTTCTATATCTAAACTCATTTGATGAACTTTTCAAATCATATAAATTTGAAGGTATAAAGATATTTTTAAATCCAACTATGTAAGACTACTGTATATTCAGTTTAAGTGACAGGAATGATCTGTAAATTCTGCAACTAGTTTACAAACTGGTCAACAGACGGCGACCTATGAAATACCACAGTTTAGTTACTCAACAACGTTGAACCAGACTACTAGTAATTTCAACAGTTACGAGCGATGATGTACGTAAGTTTTGTTATCTTTTAACTGTAAGGTGAAGTATGATAATTATATACTTACTGGGCGTTCTATCAAAATGAGAACCAAAATTTAGAATTTGCGTCACACATCATGTCATCAAAATTAACGTAAGTACAACTTTCAGTCATATTAAGCCAAATTTCCCAATTATTTAACATTTGAAATAAGTTTATTATGAAGGAGATGCCAACTAAATAAATAAAAGCCTAATATATATAACTTTCATTCAAATATTCTTTATAACCAATATAATCTGATAACTACTTAAAATTGTTAGCATTTTTCAAGATAAGTGAAAATGTATGTGGGAGTTGCCCTTTTCCATTCAATTGATAAGTATAGAAGTTAAAGTACCATTATGTTCTGTTTGACTTTCTTTTATAACTTTTAAGAAAAGGCTATATTTAAAATTAAAATAAAGGTGTTTCCAATACTTTTATGTGCTTTGAACTGATGGAAAATAACTTCATAAAATGAGATCCGTTTAAATAATTCTGCATCATGCAAATGAGAGAGAGTAGAAAATACGTCAAATCAATCCGAATTTTAAAATTTCTCCCTCTGAGTCAACGGTAAATTTACGGACTTACACTTCAAAATCCGGGTTCAATTTCACGCTGTGTACAGAATGCAGTTTGTCCATTGTGTAGCTACGAACGTAAAACAGCAACAACCGAAAATATATGTCACAAGCTACGAACGTAAAACAACAACCAAAAATATATGTCACACAATTTTAGAGTTAGTGTCATATATCGAAAACACCAAACACAGCCTATAAAATAACTCAATATAAAATACATTATTATAATTTATGAATTATCCATACAGTAAAAAATTTAAAACAGACACGACATGTCTCAATCAGTAAGTCTATGATAATAAAAATGGAAATAGTATTGTAAGCTACATTTTCAATGTTTTAATTTATATGTTAGCTAGAGGGCGCATGAAGTAAATTCATAGAATGTGCCAGCAATTTTGGACCCCAATCACACAAGCGCTGGAAGCACAGTCGACAATCCAAGCATTAGGGTTTCTTCCCCCCATCTCTACGTCATCTTCGATTAGCGAAAGACTGCCGACGACTTTAACACTAGAGCGCGCATTCCTGTCTCAGCTAATGAGAGATGCTGTTCTGACACGAGATTCCACTATGTCGTCCAAAACGGGCAGTGAAACAAGAAACGTAAACAAACACATGCCCACAACAGCACTGTAGAATTTCCGTAAACTTATTCGTGAATTTCTTCGTCAAACATTTACGTATTTTCTCCAAAGTTCAGTTTCAGCAGGTCCAGCTGTTCCTTATTTTTGAGGTTTTGATCTTTAATATTGTGAAAGTTTTGATATTATTGCGACTCTTCTCTTCAGTTTTTACGTGAATCTTGAAGCTTCTGCTGCGAAAAATTCATTCTGCTTATAAGAGTAGTAGTAGTAGTTGTGATCCGAGCGATCTTCGTTCGAGTCACAATCAAACTTACTAGGATAATTTAATTGACCACAGGTGCACGAGAAGGAGGGAGAGCTTAAAATGGAGAATGCTGCAACTATTTATTTATTTTTAATAGCATACTTATTCAGTTATGGTTTAATATACTTAGGAGTGCCTATCTCGGACCATGGCTCGGTAGGGCAGCTTTCATATGTTTAATATTTTCTTTTTTTACAAGCAACATGTTTCAGTTACAACCACGACATTATATATGGGTGTCGGAAGGAGAGGGGGAGGCGGCCCTTACTAGCCAATCTATAAAGAACCCATCATTTTCTAGTAGCTCTGAAATCATAATTAAAACTTTCAAAATTAGTATTTACACTGTACACTACAGTCACTGAATATGATGTTGAAAAATGACGATTAACATCTTAGCAGAATGATATTGTCAATATGTTATGCAGTTTAAATTTAACATTAAGAGCCTAGCATGGCCTGGTGGTTAGGGAATTAGATTCGTAACCTGTGAATCGCGTATTCAAATCCCGTCACCAAAGATGCTCGCTCTCTCAGACAGTCAATCTGACTTTTTGTTGTTAAAAGAATAATCCAAGAATTAATAGTGGAAGAATTGACTAGCCGCTTTTCCTCTAGCCTATCATTTCTAAACTAGGTGCGGCTAGTGCAGTTAACTCGCGAGTAGCTTTGCCTCAACAAACATACAAATTTTAACATTATCTTTACTATCAGTTAAACCTTCATTATCAAGTGTCTAAATGCCTATATCACAAATGATCAAACATTACTAAATTTCAGGGCCGCTGGGTGGCACAACCATTTTGAAATCCTTCAAATACTATTTCTGAAGGTTTTTGAGGGCCTTCGAACCCCTTTATTTCTATTAATATGCATTGTGCATATATCTCTGGTTAGTCTACTCACGTATGTCTTCCATCTGGTTACACGGTGAATTAACTTACATTGTCAATTACAGTGTACAGAAAATAATTCGTAGTTTTCTTCTTTAATAATTGTATTGTGTGTAATTGTCGAAAAAATACACTCACTTGTGAAAAGAGATGGCCTTCCAATTTCTCCCATTGATTTGAATAGCTGTAAGAAACGCAACTCTCTGGTACTCCAATATTTTTGCAGGGGAAAAACTGTAGGTTGTGTAAAATAAGTTTTTAACATTTGTCCATTTTGGTAATGGCGGCGAACTCCCCTTGTCATCAGAAGATCACACAATAAGTTCGAGCTGTAGTGATAAAGTTACAACTTTATGAATAAATCAGACTAAAATCTAGATTGACACATTAATCATAAATACGAGTAAGCAGTTAATAGCGAGTCACTCAGACAGTTGGTGGAGTGCCTGTCATTCAGTTAAATATTTGAATCAGTGTTAATTATTGCGTATATTCATTTACTTGATCGATTAGTCGTGAAGTTATAAAAGCAAGATTGTTTTGTACGTTATTTATGGTATTATTAATGAGTAAATATCTGTCAAATTTGAAAGTGAAAACATTATTTGTGAACCAGGGCCAACAACTGTATACAAACGATAGTAGCCTGTAGCCAACATTAAGTAAGAAATAATCTAACTTGTTGTTGTTAAGTGAACTGTAATATTGGCATTATTTTTATCAAATGACTTAAAATAATCAATCCAATGAAAGAACAACGTTACGACAATAGTATACAAATAACTTAACTTCATTGCAAGACATTATTATCAATCGATGTTGCTGTTGTTATTTGACGCATCGCATATTTCAAGCCGAAAGTCACTGATTGTGTGTTTTGAAATTTTTTATTAAGAATTTGTGTCGATCATTTTAATCCTCTCATTCAATGAGAAATAAAAATATAGATCGATTCTTTGTTATATAACAACTTCACTAGAATTAGTACAATCAGTTGTTCTTTGAACTTTTAAATGAACAATAAACATTTCCACAAGACGGCAGCACAAGTAATGTAATAAAATGGCAGAAACTGTTGTCGGTAATGCTCCTAGTTCGGCAAGTTCAGAGAGGTTTGATTTTGTATTGATAGTTTAGTAATGTTATTTAATTGTAAGTATTTCCAGTACTAGAGCATTTATTTAGGATTTTCTGTAATTTAATTAAAAGAAATAAATCTGTACACAATCGACTTTTTAATTTTTTTCGGTTAGTGATTTTTGAATGAAAACCAAGTCTTGTAAGTTGTAATTTATAAGTTATAATTTATATGGACTATGTTGATCTGCAGAATGCGGAATTATACAACATTACAAGTCTCATACAACTGCAACTTAAGCTTATTTATGTAATCGTAAAGTAGTTTAGTTGCAAAAATTGAATAGCTTTTCGTGTTAGCTTTATGTGCAATATAAAATTGTAGATGCTCTGAAAATTATTCATTGTGTGAGCTTTAGTTTCTTATTTCCTGACTTGAGAAACTACTGCCGTACTGATGTTTTATTTTGGGAAATAAAAATATTTTTTCGTATTATTAATTAATGTACCAAAAATCGTTCAGACTGAAAAATAGAGAAATTCTGATAGGGAAACTGACTATGTCCTTATGTTGATACATAATGTTGAAAATGTGTTAATTAACATTAACTTCATTAAGCATCACACAGTGAAGCTGCATCAGTTTGGCTTTTTGTTCATACATTGGTTTTTGAAAACATAAATGAGTAAATATTTTGTACCATCCTACAGAAACATTACCTAAGCGGATTATGGCCTTATTAAACAATTGATATTGCCACTAGCAGAAATGCTTTGGATTCTCTAAACCCAAAGTATGAAATTATATATGTTTATATGAAAACCTTTTTTTATATATCTGTAAAAAGTCAACATTTTGCCATCATAAAGCACTGGACATCATAAGGTAAAAAGTATGAGCTTCTTAATGAGCACAGATTTGTAGTTATTGATTGGAGGAACTAATGATATTTTATTTTGGGGAGAAAAAAAAATTGTCATTGATCCAAGAGAGGAGGAGATGGAAATTCATGCATTGTACATGAGATCTCTCTGTGTTTTTTTTTGTAATATGTATAATGCTCTCCATATTGCTGTAATATAGCAGGGTAAGATTTTCATAATATTATTTTCCCAATTGTTAATGATAGTGGTGATAACGTATCCACTTGCAGCCTGACACACTATTAATAGTACTCTATGGCCATGAGCCCATGATGTCAGATTGGTTTCTTTAAAAAAGTGCAAATGTATGTGTATTTGTCATTTTCTTTTTGTCAAAAATCTAATTAAGTTTTTTGACCACTGACTTCACATGGTAAGTTAAAAAAATATTAGACTGCAGAAATGAAAAATCTCACCCATAGAATAAATTGATGTGAGTTTAAAACACTTGAATACACCAGTTCAATAAATTTTATTTTAATTTCTTACCAACAGTTTTATTACAGGGAAAAAATTTGCAAGTGAGAAACAAAAAAGAAAATCACAGACCTAATTTTAATAATTTCATTAAGTAAATTTTTTTTGTCTAGTGATAGCAGTGATGAACTTGGTTTTGAAAATGTTGGAAGACTTGATGTTAATGAAGACTTGGTGCAGAAGGGGTCTTATCCCCCATCCCCACAGGGATCTCAACCCTTGTCACCACTTACTCCTTGCACTCCTCACTGTCTCCGCACAAAACGAGAAAAAAATAGATCATGTTCTAAGTCTGGGTCTTCTCGGGAGCCTGTATTAAGATCAGGACAGAGAACAATTTACACAGCTGGTAGACCACCATGGTATGATACACAGGGTCAGCTGGTGGAACCATTTGTAATTGGTTAGTCTATTTAATATTATGCTCATTTTCTGTTTTTGTTAATGTTTTCTTCAGTCATTTTTGAATGGATTTTTCATATTTCTTTAAATGGTCACAGATGTGTATGTAATTTTTCAATGAAGAGTGATATCTTTGATAAAGCAATAATAATACTGTTTTTTTATTTGTTATTGATGTTGAATGAAAATATTGACAAACATACAGGCAGTTTTACAGATATGAAAGCTTAAACATTACATTTAAGTATTACTATATATACTAATTTCAATTTTACAAATAAGACAAGGCTAAACTTTGCATGCTCTTGATTTTTTTTTGTAGCATTGACATATAATAACTTTTGTTGTATTAAAAATGACAAAACTAGAGATGTATAGTAAAAATAATAGTTCAGATCCATTTTGTCTATCACAAATGCTTCTTGTTCAAATCTGTTTTTATACATTTCTGGCTTGTAATTTTAATGTGACTAAGGTGTGACAGAAACTATCTGCATTTGAACTTATTGTTTTATCATATTCAGTAAAACTAGTTAGCTTTTTTTTACTTTATCAGCTTAAATGTGTACACAGTAATGATTGTTGTGTTTTCTGTTTCTTGAAGAATCATGGTTGTTAACTTTTGTTTTCAATTTAAGATATTAAAAATTATATTTTGTTTTAAATATTGGCATGTCCATTTTAAACCTAAGGTTGTTAGTTCAGATTGAAAACAGTTATTACATCATTTTATAATATCATTGTTTATGATTTTGAGTACCAGTTTGCAAAAATGTAGAATTCTTGAAGGACTTTCATTTAGATTCAGTTAACTTTATTTTTTTTTTTCTGCAGGAATTTGTGGTGGTAGTTCATCTGGTAAAACAACAGTAGCAAGAAAGATCATTGAAGCTCTTGATGTTCCCTGGGTAACACTACTCAGCATGGATTCATTTTACAAGGTAGGTTGTAGTTTTATTTTTTTGCCCTTATTATCTTAAAATTTTGAGAATTAAATATATGTGTGTGAATTTTAAGTACTTCAGTTAAAACTCGTGATTCAAATTATTATCTTTTTTTTTAATTAATTTTATTTCTTTTCTTAATCAAATTATGAATTTGTTGGGACACATGTTCCATAGTATGTGATATAGTTTCTTTGAAAGTACACAACCAGTATTAACCCGGTGCTTGGTTTTTGATAATTAATCTTTAATTTGGTCATTACAGCAATGGACAAGGCCTATGTAATATGATTATACCAGATCTACTTTAAAAAAAAAGTACAATTTTGTGGATTGGCTCATCTTTGAATTCATGTATCCATGTAACTGAAATTTCGGAGTGTTAAGTCCATCTATCCCTGCTTAGTGCTTGCTGTTAAGATGAGTTTTTCTTGAAGACTGTTTTGGTTATATATATACATATATATTTACCTGTATGGCCTGTAGCTAAACTTTGAAGTCCATTGATAAAATTGTGTGTCTAAGAAGAAGATAGAAGTTAACAAGTCTGTAGGAAATCACCATGTGCTCATAGGTACATAAATTAAAATAGCATTTAGTTTTGCCAATGTCCATAGCTTTGCAAACTACCACATGTACATGAGTAGATGATCCATAAGTGAAGTGCAACTGTTATGTAGTTTTTCAAATGGAAAAACAAAATGTTTTATTTTATATGGTGGTTTAAAATCAATTCTTAGTAGAATCTAAGTGTAGTATTTACTTAATAGTTTAGTGAATTGATTTTTAAGAATAAAGTTCTGTTTACCTAAGTATAGAAGACATAAATATATAATAATTCATGTAGTATTGCTAAGAAGGATAAGTTTTTATTTAAAACAAATGTATGATCATTTTGATAAAATGTTTGGATATCCATTTTGTTTATGAGAAAGATATACAAATTTTATTTCATTGGGTAGTGACAAATCTGAAGAACAAATGTTACAGGTCCTAGTCAAAAAAGAAAGTGACCAGTCTAAATTTTTTTAGAAGGAGAAATGCTGTCAAAGTATTTGTGTCGAGGTCACTGAAGTTTATTTTGTGGTATGTGGATGTAGAGAAACCATTAATAACATGATTTATAAGAATGTGAATGGCAGACAAAGGTTATTTTTTCTCTTTCAAAAGAAAAAGGTTATGTTGAGCTGCTGTGAGTTTAGATATTGAAAACTTTAGGTGCAGGAGATATTACAAAAGTAATATATCTTATGTAGTGGATCAGATTAAATTCATTTGGAATTGTAGAGCCATGATTGCTCATAATAACGGAGAGAAGTTAGCCAAGGCTTGGGTCAAGTGGTGACCTTACAGCAAAGCCATTTATCTGGTTAGGAAAGGCAATCCTTGAATATATAATCAGTGTTGACTACAGAGTTTAGCAAGCTGTTTAAACCATTGGAAATTGAAATCATTTGATTTTTAGAGGCGTGCCATTTTTGAAAAGATCAGAGAAGCAGATGTTGATGGTCACATTAATTGTAATGTTGGTAAAAAAGTAATGTGAAAGAGTTCCCTAAAATAATAGTCTTGGGAATGGAGTGAGTTGATCTTGTTAACAATAGAGGACATTAAGTAGTTGTAGAAAGTGGTCTAAAATATAGCTATTTGTAGGAATACATGCCAAGAGCAGAAAGTATATGGCTAGTCGGCAGATCTAATTTATGTCCTTTAGATAGTCCATATACTGAGTTAGGAGCCACAAATATAAATTTTATCAGTAGTAGAAGTTTTGGAGATAGTGGTTTTGAATTTCATTTCATTTTAATTGTATGGTTTTTTTCCCTCTAGTTCAAGGGTTAGGTTAAGAGCATCTGTGGTAGGTGGTCTAAATTTGCTGAAGTTGGGTAAGATAGTTTGTTTTGTTTATCTTATCTATTCTATTCATAAGGACAACATTATTATCTATGTCAGAATGGGAAGCAATAATATTAGCACTATTTACAAGTTCTTTTGTCAGGTAAAAAAAGAGCAGGTAGGAATTTGCAGGTTTTACAGTTGTAGAATGTGTCTAGGGCTGAGTTTGGAAGTTTTGTGTTAATTAGATTATCACGGATTGTTGAAAGGATGGTAGATAGGAAAATTCTGATGAACTTGTTCAAAAGGTACAGAATAACTGGCATACAAGAATTTGATTAGAGGTAAGCAGAAGTTAAGACTTTTAGTACAGGCTCGTTTACATGACTTGCTAAGGGAAACAGAGATGTAATTGAAAATGAGTGTCAGGATCAAGGTCAATATAAAAATTGAAAATAACGTGTCTTCTTAGTTTGATGTTTTGGATATTCTATATATAAAATTAAACTTTCTGGTCAAGGGAAAAGAAATTCTAAAATGAAGTATTTTTGTTATTTTTACAAAACTGTCTCCCAAAAATACTTTGGAAAGTTTACAATCTAAAAAATGATAGAAAAGTCAATAATATAATCATTATATTAATTTTTTAAGTCAAAACTAAATACTGTTTAGTAAGTTTGTATTGAGTTTTATGCAATTTGGTTAACTATTTCCAATTTGAGAAGGAAACAAATGAAGTGAAATCAGTGTAACCTTCTCCAGTTTGGAAAGGGTTAAGTTTCTGGTCAAGTAGATATTGCTGTTAGGAGAAATAAGTAGGGTTTTTCTGAGGGTGAAATTTTTAAGTTTAATTGCAGAAACTTAGGAACAATATTGCAAAGTTTACATTCCTTAAGAAAAGTGATATTCAAATGTACTTATAACTTCCATACTTAAACAAATAGAGATTAATTCTCAGAAATCAACCCATTAAGCTCTTAAATAAATACACCCAAATTCAACTGAGGATTGTCTCTGAATTGATGTAAATCAAAGAAAACATTTTATCCACTCAGAGAACTGCATTTCAATCCTACTTATTAGTTCACAAATCATCTACTTGTATACATGTGATAGCTGTAAATTTACCTACATTGACAAAACCAAATACCATTTTGCTGTATGTATTTATGAGCACATGATGATTTTATACAGACTTATTATTTTCAATCATCTTCCTGTATATCTCTTATCCACACAGAATCAAACTACTGAATACAGAATCTCTTTAATGGATTTCAAAGTTTTAGCTATGGGCCATGCAGATTTAGAACTTCTGATTGAAGACAGTCCTCTTACTAAAATCTCCTTAGCTCAGTAATTTATACATTCCCTCTCCCTTTTGAGACTCAGCATTCCCATTACAAATGTTTATGATTAAACAGATATTTCCATTCAATGTTCATGATGTTATTTTTAATTATTGTTTTGCATTTACTTTAGAAATTTGTTAAAGGTGAAATTTGTATATTACAAAACATTCAATGACTTTGTTCATCACTTCTGTGATGATGATGCTCATCATTAGACTGCATTTTCTACCTCATAAACCTGTTACATTTTAACCTGTTAGGAAGGTTTATGTATATTTGTTTTAACATTAAATAGATGAAATAAACTAGTGCTAATTTTTTTTATAACTGGAAATAAGTCATCATTTCATTATGTCCACAGAAATTTTTCTTTGTTTAGATTCAAGATGTTTTCATTTATTTGTTTTCTAATTGATGTATTTTATCCTATTATTCATCATTGTTCAACTGATAATAGTATTTACTAATGTTCATTTGAACATCAATGCCATTATTAATCTGTTTTTTAGGTTTTAGCTGTATTGATTTCTACTTAATATTAGCTGCAACCCATAAAACATTTGCAGTAGTTGTCATGCATGCCATTTAAGCTATGCTTTCTCGCAAGCATTATGTGTTAGATTGATAAATCCTGGTCTTTCTGAAAAAATTTTACATGGTCAGACAAACTCACATAGACATAACTTTATTTAATAAAATTACACATAAAGTAAGCAATAAAGTAATGGTATTTATAATAGTGTACAGAGTGTAAAACAGTTATAAGCATTCAGTGTATGACACGGTTTTTGCTAATTGGAACAAAAAGCTCACAAAAACAAAGAATAAATCCCATAGTAAAGAAAAAGTATCTAAAAGGTGTTTATAGCAATCTATGAAATGAACCAAAGCTAAGTAAAGTAAATGTAAAGTTGTAATGAAGGCCAACTTAGCTGAATATGCAGAAACATATGAATGAGTGTTTACAAAGTAATAAGCATATAGTTTTAAACAAACTGTGCATGTGTATTTTAGACCTAAATAAGTCCAGAAATTCCACAGAAATTGTATTTAGTGTAATGTTAATTCACCGTAGGAAATTACTTGTGAGTTAAGTGTTATTTGTGTGAAATACTTTGCAAATAAAAAACTAAAGTCATCACATGATGACAATGACATTGTGCAATTGTGTACCATACACATTACATTGAAAAATTTGACTAAGCAAAAAACAGGTAAGGTGATTCTAAATAGAAGAGCCAATATGCAACCCTGACTCCTTGGACAAAGGCCTTTCTAATGATATGAGATTTGTAGTGAGAAATTTGTGAGAGAAGTTCCAGCCAGACAGACAAACACAAGTGTAATATTTATACAGATGTTATTACTTGTCAGTTTTCTTCTAAAACTATTTGTCATTAGTATTCTGTTATCTAATGAATTTATTTGTTAGTATTAATCAGTTTTCTGCTAAATTTTCTAGTTAGTCATTTTCTCTTTTAATGAATTTGCACTTTGGTTTTAATAACTTTTCAATGAAAGTTATTTGATAGCATTCATTAATATTTTATCTTTTTTCTGTGATGTTACTCATCATCTGGATGATGGAAAGAGTATGAACTTGATGTACCTAGATCTAAAAAAAGCTTTAGATAAGATACCACACAAAATATTATTTAAGAAAATTATATTAGTGGGGGTTAAGAAATACTAGTTAAGTAGAGTGTAAGATGGTTGGATGGGAGAAAGCAAAAATTTGCTGTTAATGGAGTCCAATCAAACTGTACCCTTGTCACGAGTAAAGTACCTCAAGAATCAGTATTTTTTCTCATCTTAATTAGTGATATTAATAGGAACATAATTATTTGATTTGTAAAGTTTGCTGATGAAATTAAACTCTTGTGGATTTCTACCTCTAATTACGTATGGTGAGGTACTACAGATTGTCTTGGATCAGTTGTAAAGTTTAATGAGTATTTGACAAATGTTTTTTAACCATAGTAATTGTATAGAAATGTATTTGGACTATCATAATTTGGGTCATGTGTGTAATATAGATGGAAACCAATTCAGTAGCATGATTGAGGAAAAGCAAGCCTTCATGTTTGATGGGCATCACTGATGCTTGTAAGCACCCATAAGGTGGGTTTTGAAAGGGCTTATTAGAACCTCAGTTAAGTCTATCATGATGCTTGCTATTCACGCAATCATCTGTTGTTTGTTTACACAGGACAAGCTTACAGATAACTTTGTGTGACTCTTTTGGCTGCTACAACTCTGATTCTTTAATTTTAACAGGGATAGAAATAATGAAATAAAATTACATTCACTCTAGGGAAAGCTATCAGGAAGATTACATTCCCACATGAAAAGTTGCATTTCTTCATGCAATATGTTCACTTTCATTGGTTGTAACTAGAGGAATACAGATGGACTATTCATTCCTGATGGGAAAAGCCAACTAAAAAGATGAAATTCCTCAAGCAAAGTTAAAATATTTGGGAATTTAATATTTCAATACCTGTTAAGTTGGCCTAGATTAGTGATGTTATATACACAGTAATATGATACTTTGAACTATACTGTTGTATTATATAGAAACCCAATATTTGTAACTGAGACATTAAGTCAATGTGTTCAAGTTTAAAATTACATAACTTGTTATTAATTCAGAACAGCAAGAAGAGCTTTAACAAATTTGATTGTGGCCTAAGTTGCATTTGATGAACTACTTTGATTTTCTGCATGACAGGAGGCCTCAAAGGCTGTTATACTGATTGGAAATCATTATAGCTCAGTTCTAGTTTCACTTTCAGTTGTAAACATGTCTCAGTTTAGCCAGTGAAACTCTATTTTGTTGACAATATTCGGCAAATGGAATCTTAGTGGACAAATTGGATATTCTTCTTCAAAGGAGACCTTAGGAAGAGACGTTATAACAAACATTTGGTGCAATATTTGTGCTCAATACAGCAAGAAGATCTAAAATGAAATGAATGGGCACAGTAAATAAGAGTTGGACAAGTATATATATGTCACTGATTTCATAAGGAAGTACACTGTCACTTTCTATTTGAATTTAAAAACACACCAAATTACGTATGTATATGTCTTGTTTTTGCAGTCATTACTCAAATTTATAATGATATCCATTTGATGTTTTCATAAGGTGTACAGCCTGTATCATCAACTACCTACATTTTACAGTCAGTATACTATAATATTGTTTTGGATTCAAAGGTAAACCCAAATGTTGCCTGTGTAGGCCTATGTTTGTATGCAAGTTGCAAACATGAACACAAAGTGGGGGGAAAACAGTAGTTAATGTGTTAAACAAATTCAGCAATTTAATTAGGCTTATTTTACATTAAAATTGTCATTGACCTTGTATGCATTTATAAGTTATTGGCCAAGACCTAACTTGATGTTATGCACTTTAATTGATTTTCAAGTTACTTATGAACTTTTGATTTGGTCTTATGTTAACTTTATATCAAGTGAGCCTAAACTAAGTACCAATTTAAACATAATTAAATATTTTTATTATATGTACAGTATTATCTGTTCATTTCTTTTCTGTTTTTGATAAATTTCTGTGTTATCAGCCAATAGGATGATCTTTTCCATAGATTCAATAGTCCATTTATTTTATTAATTCAAGCTTTGCTGTTTTTATTACATTCTTTTACTACAATATATGTTCTGCAAAATTTATATATTTATAGATTTGTGCTTTTAAGGCTTTAAAAAGTTACACGAAGATGATGAGAATACTCTTCCTGTCACAAGTACTTCTGCTTCCGGCATCCCTCTCCAACCTCAGGTAAACGTAGCTCTGCATGCACAAGCTAAGGAGGATACAGAAAACTTCTTAAAACAGCTTACTTGTTTGATGTGGATGGACAGCCTCTGTTGGCATTCAAAACCCTAGTTAAAGTACAAAAACAAAATGGGGTACAACTGGTTTCAAATTTTGATAATGTCAATAGAGTGAAAAAATGTATTAACATTATTGCAGAAGTCATTCATGAGGAAGTAGCAGTGGTTTTAGATTCAGCAATAGCTTTTGCTGTACGTAATGATGAAAATCAGGCAAGAAAAACTGGCTCTGAAAAAAGAACTCATTTTCATTAGAACAGTCAAGCAAGATATACCAGTTTATTTCTGTTTTGCTTCACAGGGCATCGATAGCTTTGGTGATGCAGATGCAAGTAATCTAAAGAGGAGCATTGATAATGTATTCAAAAATGATGAAAAGGTTTCAATTCCAGCAGAGAAATACAGTCCCTGTTAGTTTCAGCTGCAGCTGACAGAGCCTCCGTTAATACTGAAGTTTACAATGGATTGCTAATAAAACTGAAAAATAACAGTTGCCTTTGAGTTCTAGGCATTCACTGTGTTTTTCATAGAGTTGAATTGCCACTGAAAGATAGTATAAAAAAATAGGTTGAACAATTGTCAAGTTTTTTTATATTTTTATTTGAAGAAGGATGATGTTTCGAGCTAACACTCTTCATCAGATCGTATGGCTGTACGATTTAAAAAAACTTGCCAATTGTATAACTTATTCTTTAATTTTGATATCCTTGCCACCCATGCAGTTTTAACTATATATTTCTTTTTACTGAAAGATAGGGTACCTAAATTGAGAATTACAGTCATTGCAAATGTACAGTTTTGTCTTGAATCAAGTTCTCATCTGAGAGTTAACTTTATCAAAGTATGCTTTGAGTAGATCCAACAAACTGGGGTAACACCACCAGGTAAATTGAGTGTTTAAATTTAATTGCAGAGCACGTTTATATGACACTAGAAATGAACAATTTTGATAAAAATGACATAAGATCAGAATGAAAAGAATGGTTAAGAACTACATGAATTTGAGTCAAAACTAAGGATTTGTGGAAGTATGTGCTTCTCTATAGAAGGATGAAATTTAAAAATGTATGCTGGTGGAAATAGTGCTCTGCATAGGACCCAATAATAGTGTTATTGAGGCAGGGTTTAGTCACCTTACCTGCATGGTCATTGACAAAAGGCTTTGTTTAAACATGCAGCAGTGAGAACCTTCTGTTGATTAAAACAAATGATTTTGTATAGCTACATGAGAAAAAGTAACAAATTTTAGAAGCAGCCTTGGAGAAGTTTATGGCATAAATGAGGAAAAGGAAATTGGATACAAATCCTCCTAACCTGACTATATAATGTGCAGCTAAGAAGTGGAAGTCAGGCATGTACAATAAAATTGAAATTTACTGTGTTGGTGATGAAGATTTAAGTGATTATGGAGGTCATGATGAGGATGATTCTGCTTTTACATGTCTAGTAGATCAAGTAATGAAACAGATGAGATTCGTTTTTTTAAGAATTAATTGCACAGGAATTATTTGATGTTGACACTGATGATGTAGATGCTTCTCTTGTATACAGTTTGTATGAGGATAATTATTGATTATGTTCTACTAGTTAACAGTTAAACACAAATGGGACAAAGGATCTTGGTATCTACAAATGACTATGCAAAGTAGATTTACTTCTCATTAATTCAATTTTTCATGAGATGTGTGTTTATGCAAGTTTGTGACTTTCAATTTTTGAACAAATAGTGAAACTGATGTTTTATTTCCCACTAAAAAATGTAAATACCATTTTACTGTTGTCTGTAAGTTACAAAAGAGTAATTATTATATGACTGTAGTCAAAATATGTGCCAGACTTTAAGGAGATCACAATATTATAATTTTTCCAATTTTACTGGATATAAAAATCTTATTGATTGTTACTTTGTTTATTCATCAAATTAATGTACCAGGCCTTATATTTACCCCTTACTTTTACTTTGCCCTTGAAGTACTACCATAGGTTTACTTAACAGAAAAATAGTATGTTTCAGTCAATACAAATTAACATTTATTGTCCAATTTTGTAATCAAAGAATAGAGATAAGGCATAAGCTTGTAACTGCTCCCAGGTACTGTTTGGTAGGGGCAGTTTACAGTATTCATGCATTTTTCAAATGTCACGGCTTGGAAAAAGATCTTGACGTAGTGACAGTTAAAGATGAAACCATCAAAGCAGAGCTCTGTTTCTAGAATAATTTTAGGATGTATTTATAGACATGTGGATTATAAGTAAAATGAGGTCATTATCTCTATATAAATTAATGATTAGGCATTATTTGGAATAGTGTGTGCAATCCTGGTTTCCTTAACTGAGAGAATTAATGACTTATTAGAGAGGGCTCAGAGGAAGTATACTAGAATGATTCTTGAGAAAAAAAGTAAGAGGTGATCATATTTAAGTTTACAAGATTAACAGGGGGGATTGATAGGATAAAGGCCTCTGATTTCCTTGTACTTATTCTAAAAATAACAAGATGGGAAGACACAAGTTTAATATTAGGAAAAGACAGGTTAGACTGCAATTATAATAGTTTCATTGTCTAATGAAATTAGTTGGTGTTCAAGTAGTGGGGATGAGCACTTTACAAGAATTTATGAGGAGAATCAATGATTTCCTTTTAAATTTTCATGTTTCTCAAAAGTTGATGAGAAATGACATCCCTTAAAGGACTTTATGGTCCCTTTTGTCCATATTTAATGTTACATTATAGCTGTGAGTTTCTATTAATTTCAGTTTTCATTATATATATAAAATATTTTACTTAATTATATAGGTACTGGATGAAGAACAGCATAAATTGGCACATGAGAATGAATACAATTTTGACCATCCAGATGCGTTTGACTTCTCCTTACTAATAGAAACTCTAAGAAAGCTGAAAGAAGGAAAACGAGTCCAGGTGCCTATCTACAACTTTGTCACCCATGCCAGGGAAAAAAGAATGGTAGCATTGGCTGATGCCACTTAGAGAACTTGTTTTATTGGAATATCCATGTTTTCTGTATCCGTCATTCTTTGCAATTTTTCATGGCACGGACAGAATTAAGAACCAAAATTCTGTTGGGTGTCTTCAGCAAGGAATATTTATTTCTTGAAAAAATTTTTTTCTTTTATATCTGTAAACATTTGAAGTGACTTGTACTAGAAGGAAAGTAAAAATAGTAACATATATAAAACTGTCACTTTTAAAATTATTACTATTAGTTACTTAGTTGTTACTCACAAGAGTGATCCAAGACAACTTACCTGTGCAAACTGAGAATAAAAAGTTTGCAGACACAGTTGATAATTGTACACTGCAAAATTATAGCATTAAATAATCTTAGCTTTATTCCTACTTAAAGAAATCTATCTTCTGATATGGTACTTACTCCATCTCACAAGATTAGCTATTCTCGTTCAGTGCAGCCCTCTTTTTGCAAACTTTTTCTTTATGCATGCCACAAGCCTTCCGCTCACTCCTGTTGGAACTAACATGTCTCTCATGTAAACTATCATGCATCATCTCTTAACCAACAGTAGCATGATATGCTCACATGACATGTGACTCCCTCTACACTCCTCTACCGAATCTTCACTTCTCATTTGGCAGCATTTGAGTTAAGACTTACTCTCTTGTGTGCCTAGTGCTTACAGTGTGACAAACAAATTTATTCATGCAAAGTAGTTCTTTTTTACTTTATTTTCTTTTATACCAGTTCATTCCTGTAACTATATTTCTCTAATCGAATTTTGTGAACCTTTTCTTGTGCTATGAATTTCGAAGTTCATGTTACCACTTCGGGGGTCACACCCGTGACCAGTGATTTTTACCAGGCCTCCTGTGCGGGTGACCTGATGGAGGATCTCTCTGCTTTTATATGTTGGGATATTGAGTGTTACATGAGTCATCCTTTGTCCCCTGATATCGCCCAGGCTCCTCCTAAGTCGGCTGAACTTATTCAGAATGACAAGGACTTGGATCATCTTTTCACGCCTCCAGAGTTTGCTGTTTCTTCCCATTTTCAGCCTGAGGAATCACCTATGCCTCATTCAGTCTTTACAGATTTTGCTTCTCAGGTTTGTGATGTTTTATCCCTTTCCCCTATCTCTTATTCACCTTGTCCTTTCTTGTTGCTTGAACAAGCTTCCCAACCATTTTTAGTTTTTCCTCCCTCTTCTTATATTCAAGTACATGTGGATCAATTTGTCTAACAATTGAGTGAGGGGATCAGCATGCTGCATCCACCAAGGACTACTGATCAATTTGCCCTTTCTTACCATTGTGCAGACTATCCATTTTTAGATCAGCAGTGGTTAGGTTCATTGTTATCTATTTGGGGGGTGGCTCTCGAATTAAATGTTAGTCTTACTCATGCCCAATTATTCTTGCCTACATCTTACCCTAACCAACCTTTTATGGTATCTTTCTTTCATGCATTTCCTATTGGAGGCTCTTAACAGAAATCCTGAGGGGTTTTCTGCAGATACCCTTACATTTCTCTTTTCCACTTTAGCCCACATTTTGGTTCTCAGCTCTGGTGTTACATATGTGGTTTCTTTGTTGTTGGGACCTTATAGGTCAAGACGCAGTTTGGGATCAGATTAATTTACCCTCAACATATCTCAAAGACTTGCATCTTGCACCTGAGACATTGTCTTTGATACAATCCCAGAAACTATTCAGCCTCGGGGACATTGGTCCACCCATATAACTTTTATAGCTTGTTTACCTCGATCAGAGCCTCATATGCCACCTATTCCCATTTACAATCTTTCGTCATCTCAATCCTTACCCATTCCTTCTAATTGAGATGCTTCTTTTTGTTGATTTCCTAAACGATATAACCCCATCCCCTTCAGTACTGGTCACTACCCTGTGGGTTCGGGTCTGGTGGGAGCTTGGCTATTAGAGTTTCTTTCTCACTGGCATCCCTTCATTGATGATCAATGGGTGATACAGGTTCTATCAGAAGAATTCATTATCCAGTTTCCTTCTCCACCTCCTGTTTCTTCTTGCCATGTTTCTTTCCCCTCACCTCGAGATCCCCAACCTTCCAGTATCTGCCTGAAGTGGTTCAAGCATTGCTTTTGCAGCAGGTAATCAAACCAGTTCACCATCCTTCTGGGTTTTTTATTCCCATCTTTGGTGGCTAGACATCAATTTATCTTGCCTCAACCACTTCTTTGCATTCCCCATGTTCACCATGGAGTTTTTTCTCAACCTGAGATGGACTTTTTCCCCGGGGTTGTGGATGATGAAAATGAATGTCTCCAATGCTTACATCCATATCCCAAGAGCACATCTGTCTTGACCTTATCTTTTGTTTGACCATCTCATGGTGGTTTACCTAGTTTGGGTGCTCCCTTTTGGACTTGCCTTTGGTCCTTATGTGTTTTGTCACATAGTCCGGGCTTTTGCATGTCATCTCCATGCTCTGGGGATGCAATTTCATTATTACATGGATGACTGGTTTCTTTTGACTAATTCCAATCAGGAATTGGCCACTCATACTCACTGACTCCTTTCTGTGGTGGCTTGGGTGATCAAATTGGAGTCATTCCTTTGACCCACTCAATATCTAGTTCATTTGGGGGTCTCTTTCAACAGAAATATCAGTTGTGCTCTGCTTTTTCCTTTACGTCTTTGTTCAATGGAACTTTTGGTTCACCATGCCCTCTCAGCTCAGTCACTTCCTGCTTTCGAGGTTCTATCACTTTTGGAGATATGGTCCTCCATGAATGCACTGGTTCCTCTTTGTCATACCCATATGAGATCTCTTCAGTGGGCACTTCACGAATGATGGAACCTTTTTCAGGATCCTCTTATCCCCATTTCCCTTCCTACTTTTCTGCAAGATAATCTGCAATGGTGGCTGGACAAAACCCATACATCTGCATGTGTGATGCTTCCTCCCCTGCATCCAGATCTACATTTTTTCATAGACACATCCCTTCAGGGATGGGATCTATGGGTCAATCACCAGGAAGCTTTGGGCCATTGGTCTATGGATGAACCATCTTGCATATCAATGTTCTCAAACTTCTAGCAGTACATTGGGCATTGCATCACTTCCTTCTTCTCGCCCATCATTGTCTGGTGATTTAATTTATAGAATTCTATGGTGGTGGCACATATCAACCTCCAAGGGGGCACCCAGTCTAGAGATCTATGTTTTTGGACATTGGATCTATTATACTGGGCCCATGCACATCACATCTGCCTTAATAGCATGTCATGTGCCGAGTGCTATCAGTCTAGTCACAGATCGTCTTTTTACGCCCTGACCATATATATCCAACAAAGTGAGCATTAGATCTACTTGTTTTCATGGATCTTTGCCACTTGGATGTCTTTGCCATAGGCCTCAATACCAATTTGCCACTCTTTTGGTTACCTGTACCACATCCACAGGCTTTGGGAGTCGATACCTTCAGCCAGGATTAATCACACAAATATCTTTATGTGCACCCTCCCATCAATTGCTTTATAGGGCGATTTCTTTTGTCTACTACACCCTTTGTCAGGTCCTCCTGATTGCTCCCTATTGGCCAGCTGAACCTTGGTTTCCAAGGTTACAAAGTCTGCTCCTATCACCACCTGTCCCTCTTCCCCATTCTCTCTCCCTTCTTTGTCAACCTTGATCCCACATCACAATCTCTATGTCCTGTGTCTTCATACCTGGCTTTTCTCTGGTACTTGGTGATACAGTTTGGTTTCACATGTCAAGTTACTTCCTTGTTAGTTAGTTCCATACGGCCATCTTCCATCCAAGTATACCAATGCAAGTGGAAAGTCTTCTGTTTTTGGTATGGTAACAGGTGGTTATCAGGTGGCCCTATCCCATACCTTCTGTTTTTCCCCACACCATAGAGTTTTTACTTCCCCTGTTCTTACCATGCTCATGTGTTCCTTCTGGATATGTTGACTTCTCAGGCATCCTGCCCTTCCGGATTGGGACATTAATGTGGTCTTCCATGCCCTTACTTTATCTCTATTTCAACCACTTTCCTCATGGTCCCTGTTTCATCTATCCCTTTTTCTCTTAGCCTGTGGACATCAACAGTCAGATTTGTTTGCCATTGACATTTCATGTACCTTTATCACCCTACCTATCTTCTCCTTTATCCCGATTGTTCCTTTCTCCCAAATACCTCAGCAGCTCTGGTGAGTTATTCATCCTTTTCTTCTATTTTCCTTCCTTCTGTATACCATTTTTACCCTCAGCCAGATCCAGATAGACTTCTGAGTCCAGTCAGGGCTCTTTATTGTTATGTAGCACGTGCTGCTACCTTTACACATATGCACAACTGACTTTTTATCCCATGGCAATCTTTCTCTCTTCATGATCTTTCCTCTTCTACCATTACTAATTTGATCTGCCTTTTGATTCATTTGGCCTACTCTTCCCTACCTTCTTCCTCCTGTACGTTGTTCCAGCTCTCCTCCCATCAGATCCGACATTTCACTTTTTTGCTCACTTTTCTTCTTCATCATCTGATCTCGGAGATGTATACCACTCCTAGTAAGTTCATCTCCCAGTATTTTCATCATGTCATGCTTTCCTCTTTGTTCATCTACCACCTGTAGCCATTCTCCAGAATTTGCAACTTTAACTGGTAAGTTTTATTAATTTTTTTTTTCAGGGTCCTTTATCTCCCTTTTTATCACGTGGATCCTGCTCTGTGGCGAGTGGTGCCTGACCAAGTATTCTTTAAATCTAAATCTGCACTGTACAGCCATGTTGATTTGTGCTTTATTTTCCATGGCTTTGCATGCTCACTGTGAAGATGGGGTGTTCCACAAAATCAGTTGACAGTGACTCACCTTGCGATATTTTGCTTCATAAACATGCCTTTTCCAGACTGTACCACCCATGGACTGCATGGGTAAAGCAGAAGTGGATTGCTGCCCATCCCTGCTATGCCTGTAGTGAATAACTCGGTATAGTCTGCTTTTTAAAGTAAGGTTTCGTGGTCACCAGTTGCACTGTCTCAGGTGATGATGTTTCTCCAAACTCTTCATCACATTGTCACCCTCCTTTCCTTGAGTGGAGTATGTGAGTACTTATCATTTTCCAGTTTGAAGCCATTGGAGTGGTTGACCTTACTGAATGACATGACTTCCTGATGCTATTTACACAATCACTGAAGTTGAGCTATTACCTTACTGGTTGACATGGCCTCCTGATTCCATTCCACAACCATGGGAGTTAAGCCTTCACCTTTTATGATGATGTGGCCTCCTGTTACCATTTACACAACCATGGAACTTGAGCCATCACTTTAAAGGATGACTTAGCCTCTTTATTCCGTTTACACAAATGCGGAAGTTGAGATGTCACCTTACTGGATGATATGGCCTCCTGATACTATTTACACAAACACTGGAGTTGAGCCATCAATATTGCAGTTCACCCCATTGATTGGGAGACCTCATCCTAATCTTGTGTAGAAGTTGGTACCCCATGAAAAGGTGTTAGATTGAACCAATTGCCATAAGTCCTCACACAAGTTTGGTTTGTCTATCTTCCTCCCCCAATTACTCTGCCTGTGTCATGAGTCACAGTGGTGGTACGTGTGATTGTTACGGTTCTATCCTTGACTATCCCTCATTCTTTTCTTTTAGGGCTCTTATTGCCTTTGTATGGTGTCAGCCTGTGCAACAGTTAGGGGAGATGATTGCATGTGATAGACATTCTTTCAAAACTGGATGTCAATTCCTGGATCACTAGGTCAGAGATGATCATTGTGTCATACCCAGAAATCAGCGAGGGTCTTAATCCCTGATTGTTGAGTTTGAGGTGAAGACGGTATGATCCTCATCCTACCCTCTTGTGGACATTGGTACCCCAAGAGGAGGTTTTGGATGTAGTAGACTTACCGAGTACAGTTTGCCACAGCTTAGCCACTCTACACCTCTGAGTTTCCACCCTTATGTCTTATGTATTCCACATATAGACAAAGAGTATACCTGGCTCAGAAGTGATGCAGTTCCCCTTTTCTGATCTCACTTAGGATGCTTTCGGGGGTATTTCTTTCGTTCCCTTGCACCAGTAACTCCTACTTCTCAATGTGGGATTCTAGTACCATAAGTACTGTATTGGAAGTTATAATTTTCCTATACTGAAAATGTATTTCCTCATATCACCCTTCCCACTCTTCCTCCCCTTCTCTGGTGCTCACACCTTCTGCCAAACTTTGAAGTGAAGGTTCGGTAGAGGAGTGTAGAGGGACTCACATACATCAAGTGAGCATATTATGCTACTATTTGTTAAGAGATGTTGCATGATGATTTACATGAAAGACATGTTGGAATATAATAATTCCAACAAGGGGTGGAAGACTTGTGGCATGCATAAAGAAAACTTTTGCATATATAGGCCAGCACTGAACAAGAATAGCTAAACATGTGAGAAGTGGTAAGTACCTATTGGAAATGCATTTTGAATACAGGGAAATTATAACTGTGGTAGGTATTGTATGGCCCAATGGTTAGGTCACTCGACTCTCAATCTGAGGGTCGTGAGTTCGAATTTCCTTCACTGAACATGCTTGCCCTTTCAGTCATGGGGGTGTTACAATGTGATTGTCATTCTCACTATTCATGGGTAAAGAGTAGCCCAAGAGTTGGTGTGGGTGGTGTTTTCTAACTGCCTTCCATCTAGCCTATTACTTCAAAATTATAGTTGGCTAATGGAGATAGCCCTCAAGTATGTTTGCATGAAATTCAGAACAAAAAACAAACATCTTAGTGCAGGAATCAAACCTTTTTTTGGAATCATTGCCATGTAGATTTTGCAAAATCAGGAAACTCTGATAATTACCACTATAAAACATCAGAGAAATTTTCTTCTGAACAAATTTCTGACTTAACACTGGGTCATGGAGTTTTTATCAATATTTTTAAAATTTCATTTTGTGTATTATCTCAATAGATTAAGATAAATACTGGGTGATGTGATTATAAATACTGTATTTCTTTGTTTCATCTTCCTGCAGAAAACCATGTATGGTGCAAATGTCATCATATTTGAAGGAATTCTGTGTTTTGCACATAAAGGCTTACTTGAGGTGAGTATTTTTACACATTTTTGCTGGGTGAAAGTTTATTGAAAACTATATATTGATTCAGTTTAAATAAATAGTATTCAATATTTTAATGATTCATAATTTTCATTATTACTAACTCTAGGAAGAAAGTTTATTAGAATGATAACATCCTGAAGTATGTTAATTTTGTAGTGTACTTTATATTACTTTACAGCGTCATTATTTTATTTTGAGTAGTTTGCTGACCTGTGTTTGAACTGACAACTTCAGTTGATATCAGTGCTCTGAGACAGTTACTCTAATTACTGAGCCATTGGGTCTTCAAGACTCAAACATACAAATTTCTCATGATTTTTTCACATATTTCAAGGGATGTGCTAGTAATATTAAGATATAACTATTATTACATTTTAAACTTAATGTAAGTCTTCAAAGACTTGATTACGTCAAGTGTCATCAGATGTAACAATCCACATTACATGGAAAACATTCTGTCATAAACTAAGAGTGACAGACAGACTTTAGTGTGTTCTTCACCCAGATTTTTTTCACATAACATATTTGCATGCTTTTCCCAAGTTTCCACAAAACTACCTACCTGCATGTAGTTTGATTGCTCATAGATTTGATTTAACCTATAATCATTGTAAGGAAATACCTTTAAATTTTTCCATACTGGAAATTTGAAGTAAAATCCTTGGTGATAAAGAAAAGCTTTTGGAATTGGTAATGAGAAGGATAAAAGGTTTTCTCCTTTCATCTGTCTGCCTGTCTTTCTCTTTCGTTACAGATATATATAGATATATCTTTCAGTCTTGATAGGCACAAAAGATGCCAAAAAACTATTAATAGTTTTACATCCAGTAAAAATATGTACATTATATTACAACTGAAGTTTGACAGTACTAATTTCTTAACATTTAAAACTATTTACTGTATTTACACACTCCCGTTTCATTCCTGTCTAACTTGTCTTTCTTTACAAATTGTCTGCAGATTATGGACATGAAGGTCTTCATTGATACTGATTCTGACATCCGACTGGTTCGGAGGCTGAAACGTGACATCATGGATCGTGGGAGGGACTTGGAAGGGGTGCTCAAACAGTACAACAGATTTGTCAAGCCAGCTTTTGATCATTACATTGCCCCAACAATGATTGATGCTGATTTAATTGTACCACGAGGTAAATAAATCTTGTGTACATGTTATTACAAAATTCTGTAAAATGGGTTAATATGTTATGCAACACAAAACAAATATATTTGCCAAGTAAGTAGTTTGTGATTTTGTAAAACTTCTGTTGTCACCTCTATGATGAACTTCTTAGCATCAGGATTGTTGACCTTAACATCCTTATATGAAAAGGACATTAGTAATTGATATTAACTTCCGATCATAGCAAGCTACATACGTAGAACAAAACTAAAATTCAACCTGGTATTAATAATGACCATAGCTGATTAAATATACTTTTTTTTTTTTACATCCTAATTTATATGGATTATTTCATCAATTAGATATCCTTATTGCTGTTAACTATATTTTAATATAGCATAATTCTAATAATACCTCACAATGTTTGGCCAGCATAGAAGACTTAAGTTATTCCTAATTACATATATTAACCCTTTTGCAACAGACATCCTTTTCTGCACATGTCACAAGGTTTTTTATGGACTTGCATTAAAAATTTAATTAAGCTACTTTTTATTTATGTTATTCCAAATAGTATAGCATAACATCTTAGCTAATAATCCATATTTTAATAGTATATCAGTTTTAAGTTATTGATTTTATAAGGCAATATTAAAAAGAAATCCTGAATTTTCCCTAGTGTGAGAAATGTGACATTTGTTTCTAGGCATCCCTTCTTCTTTAATTTATTTGCCACCCCTCTAATAAGTATGAAATTTAACATAAATTACTCACTATCAAATTGTCATTGCTTTGACAAAATATAATTGTCATGGCCTTCAATTTTGTTTCTTTACAGAGCTATCAAATAGAAAATCAGACCCCTCTTGTCATACCCACCTGTCACATCCTCTCTATTAGGATTTGTTAATATTTTTCTCTTATGTTTAACATTATTTATAACTAATAGAAAGCCAAGGTTTTCATCTATCAAGTGACATATTATATTATATTGTTTTCAGAACAGAGAATTGCCAATTTCTGTTTTAGTACAAGCTTTGTTCCCTCAGGAAATATATTGACTAATGTGGATGAATTTGTAATGGCTCTCATTGCATAGTTAGAAAGCCAGCAAAATTGTGATATTTGTGGGACATTGTCAGCTTTTTGAATTTTATTATTCTGTGTTCCTTGGTGCATTATTTAATTAAATAAAAATTTAGTGCATTACTACCATTAGTATAGAAAAAAACAGGATTAAGTGTCATTAACAGTCCACAGCAAAAAAAAAGAATACCCAGGTAAGTATTTTATTTCTTATTTTTCATCTGTATTCTTTATTTATTATAATAAAAGTAGCTAAAATTTAAAAATTAGAATCTCTTTAGGTTAGTTAAAATTAAATTAGGTAAAATGAATAATAATAATAATAATCTATATAAATATAATAGTACTGTCTGTCATATGGCCATGTAATTACTTTGTAGGGTGTGGATGGATTTTCACCAAAATTGGTATGGAAGTTCATTAGGTCCAGGTGGGAGTATGTAAAAATTTTCAGTTTTGCATTTTGCATGGCCGTTTTTGCATTCTACCACTTCTTCATCCCCTGTAGATGGATCTTCACCAAATTTGATAGGGAGGTTCAATGGGTCCATGGGAAAAGACGTACAAATTTTCAGTTTTGCTGTTTTTATGGGTGTTTTTTTCATTTTTTACCACCACTTTACTCTGTGTTAATGAATCTTCACCAGATTTAGCATGAAGATTTGTTGGATCCATGTGGAAATACATGCAAATTTGTGGTTTCACATTTTGTGTTTTGCAGTTTTTATGAGCATTTTTTACAATTATATATAAGGGAAGCAACTTGTTATGTCCTAGAATAACCTTTCATTAACTCTTTCAGCACGGGCTCAGTCTTTGGGACTGACCCTATAACCATTTTGTGCTTGTTATAGTTTTCATCCT